ACTGACCGTTCACATAATGAAGCTGTTCATATAATAATTATTTTCACTGTACGCCATTGACCGTTCACATAATGAAGCTGTTCATATAATAATTATTTTCACTGTACGCCACTGACCGTTCACATAATGAAGCTGTTCATATAATAATTATTTTCACTGTACGCCACTGACCGTTCACATAATGAAGCTGTTGATATAATAATTATTTACACTGTATGCCATTGACCGTTCACATAATGAAGCTGTTGATATAATAATTATTTCCCTATGTGAACGGTCAGTGGCGTACAGCGTACAGTGAAAATAATTATTATATGAACAGCTTCATGTAAAATATACTACTGGATGAAATAGATTTAATACGTGATACTTCCATAAATGTACAACTTTGAAAATTCAAAACGATTTCCTTGTGATATGTCAAAAAAACAATTTCAAAAATGCTCATCTTTGTTATACATTTTAATTACTAATTTTTATGATCTTCTACATTATTGCAAAGTTTTATTTTATAGAACGATAAATTTCTTCTCTGTTTTGATTCGAAAAACACCACCAACAGCTTCACTATGTGAACGGTCAGTGGCGTACAGTGAAAATAATTATTATATGAACAGCTTCATTATGTGAACGGTCAATGACCCTCGTGTAGCTTTGCGCGAAATTCAAAACAAACAAACAAGCTATCAATTTTATCGCTCTAGTCTTATACTGCTAAATTAGGGACGGCTAGCGCAGATAGCCCTGTTACAAACCTTTCAATCTACAGCTCAGTACGTGAACTATTAAGCCATCACGACCCCCTGTTACAAACCTTTCAATCTACAGCTCAGTACGTGAACTATTAAGCCATCACGACCCCCTGTTACAAACCTTTCGATCTACAGCTCAGTACGTGAACTATTAAGCCATCACGACCCCCTGTTATTTTTCTTTTTAGAATTAAAGCAATATTTTCTTCACTTAACTCGAATCTAAGTTACTAGAAGCTTCCGAAACTCAATTGAAATGTTCGGGGTATAATTCAGGAACATATGTTCTTACATTATATAAAATAACTCTTCACGAAAAAATGTGTTTTTGTGAGGGCCCAGCATGGTCTGGTGGTTAGGACACTCAAATCGCAAATTTCCAAGTAGCGGGTTCGAATCTCTGTCACTGAAAATGCTCGCCATTTCAGCTGTGGGGGCATCATAATGTGACGGTCAATCCCACTATTCGTTGGCAAAAGAGTAGCCCAAGAGTTGGCGGTGGGTGGTGATGACTAGCTGCCTTCCGCGGACTTACAAGGCTAGAAACCGGGTTTCGATACCCGTGGTGGGCAGAGCACAGATAGCCCTTGTGTAGCTTTGTGCGTAATTAACAACAAACAAACCTTTCGATCTACAGCTCAGTACGTGAACTATTAAGCCATCACAACCCCCTGTTACAAACCTTTCAATCTACAGCTCAGTACGTGAACTATTAAGCCATCACGAATACATTATTCATACTTCTCGCTGGTATTTTATGTTCGCATACATTATTCATACTTCTCGCTGGTATTTTATGTTCGCATACATTATTCATACTTCTCGCTGGTATTTTATGTTCGCATACATTATTCATACTTCTCGCTGGTATTTGAAAACAAGACACCTCAAATTACATTTGAAGAGGAAGTCAGATTTTGCAGCCGAAACACAGAGTCAAAATAAATCAGGATTTAATAACAGGGAGGTGCTAGGTAATTAAACAGAAAAGTCTATCAATCATTATAGATACCGCACTAAAGGGTGCCTTATACAAAAAGTCCAGAGTTTGGACAATGCTCAAACAAATTCATCCTCACCAATGATTGACTTCTGGGAGTCACCGGTCATTGAGTTCATTAATGAGAAACGAACCCTGGACACTCTGGTTCGTGCTGGACTCAGGAAGGGGGCTGTTGACAGGGTGTATAACAAGGGGTTGACAGCAGCATTGAGAGGAAGAACAAACACGGCAACCCATGCAAACACCTGTAATAGAAAACAAGTTCGTGTCTAACATAAAATCATACGTTAATCACTATTAAAATATGGATATAAAGTTTGTTTTGGTATTGAAATTCTCAACCTGAACCTGAATCACGCGCTCTTGAGTTCAATGGCCAGATATAGCCGCCCCTAATTTAGATCTACTGTCTAGAAGAAATGAAGTTAGCCAGAAGAACCCACCGCCACCCACAAATGAAAGTACCAAATATTTGACGGCACGAATCTTGCGAGCATAAAATACCAGCGAGAAGTATGAATAACGTATGCGAACATAAAATACCAGCGAGAAGTATGGATAATGTATGCGAACATAAAATACCAGTGAGAAGTATGAATAATGTATGCGAGCATAAAATACCAGCGAGAAGTATGAATAACGTATGCGAACATAAAATGCCAGCGAGAAGTATGAATAATGTATACGAGCATAAAATACCAGCGAGAAGTATGAATAACGTATGCGAACATAAAATGCCAG